TTAAGACAGGGTCTCATTATACAGTTCAGGCTGGCCTTGAGCTCACTTTGCAGCCCAGGCTGGTCTCTCACAGTGAATCCTCCTGCTTCAGCCTCCCTAATGCTGGGATTACAAGTGTGAGCCACCACACACAGCCTGAATCTTAGCAAGATTCAGCAAAATTTGAATTTTTTCCCCCTATACATTTAGAGTTTTTAATATAGTGACACTTATTTTATTTTTGTTAATTTTCTCTTCCCAGTTGAATTAAATTTGGGTCTTTGCTATATTTGATTTTGATATAGATACTTTACCTAACTTGGTTTCCACTCTGGTTTTTTCTTTCCTCTTCTGGAAAAGTATTTCAGGACAAATCACATGCCTGCTGCACCAGGTGTACACACACACACACACACACACACACACACACACACACACTGAGGTTGCTGCTGAGTGTGCTGTTCCTGTCACAAAGATGTAGCTACATATTACTTATCATGAACCAATTCCTGTTTTCTAGCGAGTTGGTGGAAGTATTCGGCCCTGGAAACAGATGTATGTTGTCCTTCGAGGCCACTCACTGTACTTGTACAAGGATAAAAGAGAGCAGACAACGCCATCTGAGGAAGAACAGCCCATCAGTGTTAATGCCTGCCTTATAGACATCTCTTACAGTGAGACCAAGAGGAAAAACGTATTTCGACTTACCACATCTGACTGCGAGTGCCTGTTTCAGGCTGAGGACAGAGATGACATGTTGGCCTGGATCAAGACCATCCAGGAAAGTAGCAACCTAAATGAAGAGGTATGGGTGGAAGCTGGCGCTGGCACTGCCACAGGGTTTTCCGCAATGCTGAACTAATTGGTAAAATTCAGCCATACTTACTGTTGATCACTTTACTGAAAATCACCAGCACTGACTGGCAAAATAGGCAGTATGTATTCTGCCTTCTCAGAAGGAGGGAGTCAGGCAGGAGAACCAGGTTCCTACTTCTAGTCACTGCTGCTTGTGCCTGGGCATTTGTTGAGGATTGGCCTAGGATCCTTTACAGGTAGCAGCATCTGTGGGGCTCAGGTTTCTTGAATGAAATGGCATTGTATTTGTACATAACCTAGCCACATTCTCCTTTGTGCTTGAAATCAGCTGTATATTATAATACCCAGCACAGGGGGCTGGAGAGATGGCTCAGTAGGGGCCTGAGTTTAATCCCTGGTTCCGCAAATAAATCAATCAATAAATTCTAGTACCCAATACAATGTACATGCTTAACAAATAATTGTTACACTGTATGGTTTAGGAAAGAATGCCAACAGAAAAAGGCTTATACCTGCTTAGTGCACATGTAAATTTTTTATAAATGTTTTAGTCCCAGGTTGGTTGAATCCACAGATGTAGGACTTACAGATAGAAAAGGTCAGCTGTGCCTTTATGACCAAATTTTCTTTTCTTCTTTCATTCTCAGTGTAGTTCAGGCTGTCTTTGAACTCACTATGTATTCCAAGCCAGCCTTGAACTTGCAGTAATTCTCTTGCCTCAGCCTCCTGAGTACTGGGATTACAACTGTGCATCACCACACCCACCTATGCTATGTCCAACAGATCTATTTTGTGATCTCAAAAAACAAGATTTTTGTGGGCTTAAAATATATTACAGGGGCTGGAGAGATAGCTCAGTGGAATAAGCGCTTCCCTGGCAAGCACAGGGGCCTGAGTTCAATCCCTGGTTCCACCAAAAATAAAAATAAATAAATAAATAATTTTTAAAAAACTTTTAAAAATATATTACAAAACAAGTTACTATATATAGGCAGAGATACTGATGGTTTTTATTAATGGAATTACAAAAGCCTATTGTGTAATGATTACTTTCTAAGAAAATATGCATCATCAAAAATCCTATTTAATGACTTGAGAATTTCCATCTTATAGCCATCAAGAAGATATTGTTTTTTTTTTTTTTTTTTTTTTTTTTTTTGTTTTTTTTTTTTTTTTGAGCAGAATATATTTATTGAGAGAAAGAAAGCTCCAGTCCCGAGAGAGGGACAGGAGGGAGGCCCGAGCGGGTAGTTCCCCCAAGAAGATATTGTTATGGCAGGAATTTCAATAGTAAAAGTAGTTTATAAAGTATGTATAACTGTAAACCTTTTTGAGATAATCTACCAATGATGAAATCAAGGTTTTATTTAGAGTACTACCTCTCCTTTATATCATTAATGCTGTTTTCTTTACACGCCTTTTCATGCCTCTTATAACCAAAGAAGTCATAAAGTTCTTTTCTCCTGTTTACTATACTCAGGGACATCTACATTAACTGTAAAGCCATACAAATAATGTTCTCTAAGCTAATCATTTCATTACTCCAATTCAAATATGAAAATGTATATACCATGATCAAAAAGCCTGCTTTTTATTTCCCTCTGTTAGTTTGCACCCTGCCTTGTTTGTGGTTAAGAATTAACCCCAAATTCTTACCAATGTGACCTTCATTCTACAACTATTTCCCACATAGAGCATCAGACCTGAATTTTATAAATTGAACAGAGTGAGATTGCAAATTGAGATTTCAGTTTTAAAATTCAGAGGAGTTCCTGTTTAATAAGTACCAGCTATGTCCCAGTCATTCCGTCAGGCAGACAATGTCCCTGTTCAATTTCCTTTAAATGGAACCAAAAGCTGGTGGGGCACACCTGTAATCTCAGCCCTCAGAAGGATAAGGTGGGAGACTCTCAAGTTAGAGGCCAACAGGCATAATGAGGCCCTATCTCAAAAAACAGAAACTTCCTCAAGTAGTAATCTGTGAAATGTAAGGCTGTTTTGAGGATTGAATGAGATATACTGATTGTGAAAAATGCATAGTGCATGGTATATAATAGTTCTCTGAGCACTTACCATGTGGCAGATTCTGTTCTTAAACATATGAATTAATCTCAGCAACCATATGAATATTTTTGTTAATTTTCACCATTTTATAAACAAGGATACTGTTTCAAAGTAATTAAGTAAATGTTTGTTTGGTTTTTTTTTTTGGGGGGGGGCTGGTGCAGAATGCCTTCAGGGCAGGTTTGGTTGGCTTGAGTTAGATTTTTTTTTTTTTTTTGGCTCCGAATGCCTTCAGCACAGGTTTAGCTGGTTTGAGTTGTGGGTATCGAACCCCAGCAACCTGAGCCTGATTGCTTTGTTGAAGCAGCCACTTAAAGAACTGAGCTAAGGAGCAGGCCTCCCTACACTCTTATTCTAGATCTTGGTCATATGATCTCTGTACTAGAAGAGTTAATTCCCCATAATGGGCTGTACCTAAGACCTTATGTGTGCCAGGCAAGCACAGTACCACTGAGCCACAGTCCTTACCCTAGAAGGGTAATAAGTTTAAATTCAAGACTTTTTTTAACTCCAAAACTTGCTTTCTTTATAAACTGTCTTTTATTATAATGAAAATGAGAAAAATTTTTAAAAGATTTGAAAACTTGTGTCAATATTTAAATGAAATCAGTACAAAAAAGATCCCTTCATGTTCATCTCTGGGTTTACCATGCAGTATACTATAAACGTGATCTTGCTGAGATTTAAAGGAAAAAACAAATTTTGGGCCTTTCCCTTGATAATCTAAATGCTGCTTATGATATAATTTCACATTCTCTAATGTTCCTACAAGTTAATCATTAACAAATTCTAGCAGTATTTTATCTTTTGTCCAAACGTATTATTTTTAATACGGACCATTCTTCACACTATTAAAGAAAAAAAGGACTCCCCAAGTTATGAAAAATGGTAACTCATTAAGTGTTGAACACTTGTTTTTTTCTGGCACTATTCTACATATTGCACAGATATAAAACTCTTGACAATGGAAGGAGGCTCTTAGAACATTTGTCACAGGATGTTAAATAGAGGTTTTGAAACAGCTCCAAAAAATAAAAAAGTTTATGTTGAACAAGCAGATTAGTACAATGGAAAGCTTCAAAAGAAAAAAATAAGTAGGCATCATTTCATTGTGTTTAAAATTAACTTTTTAATGTTACCTTCTGTTTTTTTCTTAAGGACACTGGAGTTACTAACAGAGATCTCATTAGCCGAAGAATAAAAGAATATAACAATTTGATGAGGTGAGAGTCCCATCATGCCTTTAGTTAATTCAGATGTGAGATGGGAAAGTTAATAAATGCTCATTTCTTTCAGCAGCAAAGCAGAACAATTGCCAAAAACACCTCGCCAGAGTCTCAGCATCAGGCAAACTCTGCTTGGTAGTAAATCAGAGGCAAAGACTCAAAGTCCACACTCCCCAAAGGAAGAGTCAGAAAGGAGGCTTCTCAATAAAGGTACTGATGTTAGTTTATTGGGCAGATTTGCCAGAAAAAAATGGGATTTGAGGTAAGGCCCAAGACCACATCTCCTGTAATCAAGACAAAGGGAGAAGAGTGTAACACTGAATGACTCAGAGACATATGTACTATCACTTTTTAGAAAAAACAGTATTTTTTTCTTTGCTAAAATCTTATGAAGACATACTAATTTTGCTTTCCTACTGATTCAAAGAATCACAGTGCATATAAAAGTTGTGTGGAAGGTTAAAATGAGTGACATAGTAGGAGGAAAATATTTTCATAAAAGTGGGATGTTTTATAGCATTTCAGTTTTTGCAAATGTTGATAAAGATTTTTAGATTCATAATTTAAATACTTCATTTTGTGTCATTTTGTTTTCAATAACAATCAAAAGATGATACGAGTCCCCCAAAAGACAAAGGCACATGGAGAAAAGGCATTCCAAGTATCATGAGAAAGACATTTGAAAAAAAGCCTGCTGCTACAGGGACGTTCGGTGTCAGACTGGATGACTGCCCACCAGCTCATACCAATCGGGTAGGAAACACCAGCCACCTGGTTTCCCAAAGTCATTAATTCAGCTACAACTATAACAGGACTTCAGTATACAGCATTTCAAGTCGGTTGAATTTTTCTCTCTGTAGCAGACCTTAGTTTCCTTAAATACTTCTCTGGCTCTGTGTGTGTGTGTGTGTGTGTGTGTGTGTGTGTGTGTGTGTGTGTGTGTGTGTGATTTTATCTGTTTTTTTCTAATGACCTGAAATGGATAATGACTCATCTTTAGAGATATATCTGAAAAGGTCAGTAAATATTCAATTTCAAATAATGTGTTTTTGATAGCATCTTATGGAAGAAACAAGAAAGACTTGAGAAAATACAGTAAATAGGGCTAGTGGTAGAGTACACTTGTATAGCACATAGGAAGCCCTGGGTTCTACCCCAGTACTACACACTTGTGCGTGTACACACACATGCATGCACACACACTGTATAGTAAGCGTGCATGTGTGTTTGTTAACTATAGCCGTTCCAGCACTCATTTCATGAGTTGATTGATACCCTACTCTTCTAATTTATCCCACCTTCTTACTTGTGTCTGTTTACTCTTACCTCCCCAAGGGCCTGTCTTGTTCTGCCTTAGCCTTTGCCTTCTCCTCTCACTTCCTCAAATAGCTCTTGCTGGTTTTATCTATTCCCAGTTCTCAACTGGATATATCCTTTATTTTCTCTACACATGTTCCTCTTTGGATGAAAAAGGCCCTTTAAAACATGTCATAAACAATCACTAATTAAATATAAAACTGTGCTGTGTTAAATAAAATGTTTATATCTTGTTTTGCAGTATATTCCATTAATAGTTGACATATGTTGCAAATTAGTTGAAGAACGAGGTCTTGAATATACAGGTATTTACAGAGTTCCTGGAAATAATGCAGCAATTTCAAGTATGCAAGAGGAACTCAACAAGGGAATGGCTGATATCGATATACAAGATGATGTAAGTTTTTTTTAATGACTGATGTAGATTTTTTATCCTTTGGTAATATTGACTACAGAAATGTATTTCTATTTTGCATACCTAGAAATGGCGAGATTTGAATGTGATAAGCAGTTTACTAAAATCCTTCTTCAGAAAGCTCCCTGAGCCTCTCTTCACAAATGGTAAGTTAACTCCTAAGAAAGAAGCCAGGAGAAACAGTTAATATTACAATGTCAGAAAACCATAGAATATTAATAATTATATTGAACCTGGCAGAGAACAGTTTTTCTCAAACAGAACTAGAGGTTCTAATTTAATTTTATGTAAAATGCATAATTTTGTGATTTGGATTTTTCTTATGCTATATTTCAATGGAAAAAGACTAATATCTTAAGTATATAAAGAGTTCAAAATAAAAGATCCAATTAAAACTTGGGCAGTAGGACCAGGGAGATAGCTCAGTAGAATAAGTGCTTGTCTGGCAAGCATAAGGTCCTGAGTTTAGTCGCCAGTACTGAAAAAAAAAACAGAGGACTCAGGACATAAGAGAACCTGTACTATAACATCCTGTAACTCAGTGATGTCCCACATTTTCTGATCAAGGAGATTATGGGGCCACAGAAGAAAGTGATCAACAACGGAGAGTTACATGGAGAGAAAACATTCTCTCAAGCTTTCGCAGAGAGCAAATTGGTCAAACATTGCCTGTGACTCATCCACATGGCTGACACTGACAAAGGATCTACAAATTGCAGTACAGATTTCAGGGTAAATCCTGAGGGGATTTGATAGACCTTGTCAGATACAAAAGTTACATTTCTTGTTATGTAGGTTGTGCTTTACTTTGGTCTTAACTATGCAGCAGAAAAGTATAAAAATGAGGTATAGAAAGTAAAGCCATATTAATATGCTGAGCTGTAAAAGTCAACAACTTCTGACATTGCCAGTCCTATGGATAACCTGCTACTATTATGGACTACTGGACTATGTTGGATTGTTTTGCTGAATTCACGCACCTACAATATTTAAATGGCAATGGAATACCCATCTCTGAAAAAACTAAACAGAAAAAGTGGTTATAAATGAAGGCCCATTTTGTATCTGTATATACAAATAGTTAGGATGGATATACAGCTACTTTCTCTTAATTCAATGAGAAGAAAGATTCGTACTAATGGTGTTTGGACAGGATATTACATTTGTATCTTGTACTATGAATAAATACTACAAAGACAATAATATGCAGTATATTAATCATTGAAACTGTCCTACTAATCAGTTTTGAAGCTGTCTCAGTGCTGTTTGTTTCTCAATAAAATAAATAAATAAATAAATAAAATAAAGGCCGCCCCCCAAAAAAAAAAAAACAAACTTGGGGCAATGAAATGATTAGACAGTTCACAGAAATACAAATAGTCAATAAGTACATGAAGAAATGTTCAACAGTAGAGAAATGCAAATTAAAATAACAGACTCCCATCTCACTCCAGAAAGATTGGCCACCATCAGGTGGGATTGTAAACTAGCACAACCACTATGGAAATCAGTATGGAAATTACACACAAAAAAACACATTATTTCCCTTCTAGGAATCTTCCCCAAAGAGTTAAGGCCATTATGTGTATAACCTTATTTATAGCAGCACAATTTACACTAGCTAAATCTTGGAAGCAGCCTGTATGTCCATCAACAAATGAATGGATAGAACAAAATGGGTATTTACATGCAGTAGAGTACTCTACTACTCTCCCATAAAGAAGAATAAACTTGAGTCATTTATAAGCAAATGGCTGCATCTTGAGGCCATAATGTTAAGTGAAGTGAATCAGATAAACTTACATATCTCATAGTTTCTCTTATATGAGATGCTCTAGTTATAAAAAAGGAGCAAAATAACAGATAATAGGAAGTAGGGAGGTAGATTTCAAAAGGGAAGGGAATCAAGAGATGGATGAGGAGAGGGTGGAAAGGGAAAAGGGATAGAGAAAGGAATTGAGATGTGTCCTCTGCATGAATCAACTCCTCATAAGGGGTGTAAATATATACTGAAAGTAGGTACTAATGAAAATAAAACTTTAAAAAATTACCTCAACATTCTAAAAAGTTGATCAATAAAATATAAATAACATTGTCAAGTCAATAAAATACATATTATCTGTTTCATTTATGTTGACAGCATAAAAGTACATTGTTTTCAGTGGAAAGTCTTCAGGCATAATAAAGTATAATTATTAGAAAAACATCTTTTCAATCAAGCCAAGTAATTGAATTGCTGTAGTAGGTGTTGTTGAGGGTGGAGGACAATAGACAGGCTACATAAATATTGGGTGGTACCCTCAAGGAACTCACATATTTTTGAATTTTCTATTTGTTGATAAGACTTGGATTTTAAAACAACATATTTTAGAAATTTACATTTTGAAGGCCATTTGAGATCTTCCGTGTATTTTTTTTTTTTCAATTAAATCCCAAAGGATAACTGGATAAGTCATGCAAGCAATTTAAGATACATCTGTTTTGTTGTTCTTATTGTTGTCAGATAAGTATGCCGATTTTATTGAAGCCAATCGTAAAGAGGATCCTCTAGATCGACTGAAAACATTAAAGAGACTAGTAGGTATTGTTTTTTTATTGCTAGAGGTACAGCTAAAATGCAGCACTTAAACCCACCATGAGGATAATGTGTTTCAGATTCATGATTTACCTGAACATCATTATGAAACACTCAAGTTTCTCTCAGCTCATCTGAAGACAGTGGCAGAAAACTCAGAAAAAAATAAGGTATGTAAGGTATATATTTAAGAAATGGATTTTTAGGGGCTTAGCTCTAAAACATATGTATCTTCGCTTTGTGCCAAAAATCAAAAATCATCTTATAATTCAACAAAAGCTCTAAAATAACATCAGATCAACCGAATCCCTCTAAAAGAGAAGGATTCACAGCTAACCAGCTTTCACTCACTATTTTCAAAATGTACTTCACTTTACATTTATTGAATTTCATCTATATTCTCACTATTATGAATAGGTGACTTATGTACATCTGTCAAAAAGGGTACCATATGGTCCCCAGAGAACAATAAGATCTTTACTTTTCAATATGTCCTCCCTTTTAAGGCTGCTACATTAATTAATCAAATAAAATTTGCTATAAATACTGTTTAATAATCAATTCATCTGGAGTTTTGAGAGGGTCTCACTTATGTAGAGACCAGGCTGGACATGGGACTCTTAATAATCCTGTCTCAACCTCCTGAGTGCTGGGATTACAGACATGCACCACCATGTCCTGCTTATTTCTAAAATCTCTTTTTACAGGCATATGTTTTATTGTACAGGCAAAACCTACACATAATGAATATTTGACTTCCTTTCCTATCATTATTCCTCTTATTTCTTGTGTAAATGCTCTGGCTAAATTTTCCAGGGCTATGTTGAATAAGAGTGGAGACAGTGAACATCCTTGTTTGTTCCTGATTTGAGAGTGAAAGCTTTCAGTTTTTTTCCATTTGTTATGATGTTGGCTATTGGTGTGTCATAGGTACCTTTTATCAGATTGAGGTAAAGACCATCTAGTCCAATTTTCTGTAGGGTTTTTATCATGAATGGGTGCTGGAGTTCGTCAAAAGCTTTTTCTGTATCTGTTGAGATAATCACAGTTTTTGTCCTTGGCTATGTTAATATGGTGTATTACATTTATTGATTTACATATGTTGAACCATCTCTACATCTGTAGGGTAAATCTCACCAGGTCATGGTATATAATCTTGGTGATCTGCTACATTCTGTTTGCTAGTATTTTATTGAGTATTATTGCATCTATATTCATTAGAGAGAGAGGCCTGTAGTTCTCTTTCCTAATTGGGTATTTCTCTGGTTTTGCTGTCAGAGTAATGTTTGCTTCCAGGAATGAATTCAGGAGCATTGCTTCCCTTTCAGTTTCATCAAAGAGTTTGAGAAGTAGTGGTATTATTAGGTTAGTAGTTTAAAAATAAAAAATGATGATTTTCTAACTCTATAGTTATCATTATTTGCAGATGACATAATACTCTACATTAGGAGACTCCAAAAACTCCACCAAAAGACTGCTAGATTTAATAACCAAATTCAGTAGTGTAGCTGGATACAAAGTCAACACTCAAAAAATCATTTTTAAACTTCTAATAATAGAACTGATTCAGGTAACAATCATCAGTGACTGAGGAAAAAGATGAAAAATTGAAACCAAATGCATCAGTCAAATGTAATATGTAGGTTTTGTTTGCACAATAAAACAAATTCTGTATAAGACATTTTAGAGCTATCTCCATGCCCCAAAGTTCTTAGTTTGATATAGGACCTAGCTAAAACTGTATCCTCAGTTGTATCCATATACAATTATCATTACATGTAAATATGTAAAAATGAGGTATGTACTGGAGCAAAGAGCTTCACAGGATTTGGCTGAAGTAAAAATTGGTCTGAAAAAAGATTATTGATGGATGTAGACCTTGATGGATATAATACTGGAGCAAATCTTGAACCCTTTATATATCTTTACAATCCTTTTTCATTTTCATATCTTGAGGTAAGGGGTCTCCCGATTACCTGCTTTAAAAATGTTGTCAGTTAATCCATTTCCAGGAGCTAGTTTAAAATCAAATCAGTTGCTTTTAATCACAGACTTATTGAGACAAATGAATACCAGTTAGGCATTGCACATTCTCATTAAATATTTAGTTTTTACCTGTATTAGTCAACTCTTGTTTTTTCTTGAAAAAGAACTTTTCAGAAGTAAAATACCCAAACCTGCAATGGGAATTTAATTCTTTAAGAAAACGTCGATATTTTTTAATTCTTCCAGATGGAACCAAGAAACCTGGCCATTGTTTTTGGCCCAACTCTAGTTCGAACATCAGAAGACAATATGACACACATGGTCACCCACATGCCTGATCAGTACAAGATAGTAGAAACACTCATCCAGCATGTAAGTTCCCGCTGCATCTCTTTGAGACCATTCATTTTCATGAGCAGCTGATACTTGGTAGGCAAAAGTTGCTTATAATTCTTTTATCCCAAGAAATACCTTTTCTGTACTATCTTCCAAGGTAGAAATATATATAGGAGGTTATTTAATTTTTCTTTTCACCTTTTTATTTTAACTTTTAGCATGACTGGTTTTTCACAGAAGAAGGTGCTGAAGAGCCTCTTGTAAGTATTGGCCATCATTTCTACTCACTTATTTTCACTTGGGACACAGATCCTGATGCTACAACAGTGTCAACCTCCTGCTTTGTATGCTATTGTCTGCTTTGCACCCTGGAAGCAGGTCGCTACCTCCTCAGTTTCTGATCTAATGAAAACACAAGTATGATGCTTACTTTTCAAATATTTGTATATAACTAATGTAAGAAAATTAAGCCAGGTGCTTTGTTCAGTAATGTGTCTTTAATTAAATGTTTGAATTTTAAAGAAAGTATATTTGAAGCGATGATGAAGAGATCTTTGTTTGTTAACCATAGACAACAGTACAGGAGGAAAACACAGTAGACTCCCAGCCAGTGCCAAACATAGATCACTTACTCACCAACATTGGAAGGACAGGCGTGTCCCCTGGAGATGTATCAGGTAACTCTTGCCTGGGCAGTATTGATCCCTAGGTTTAAAACTGCATTCTTATAACATGAAAGAGCAAATCAGTCATATGTAATAATTCACTCTGATTTTAGTTTCTTTTTCTTTCTCTTTTTTTTTTTTTTCCTTTCAACTAATTAAAAACCTTCCTTTTCTGATTGACCTCAGTTATCTTCCAGTGCCTATAATGCCATTGACAGTGCATGGAGTTGTAATGTTTGTCAGAATCAAATATGAGGAAAATGAGCATGCAAACCACTGTTTTGTTCTTTTTTTTTAATCCACAGTTTCCATGTAATAGTCATCACAAGGTAAAACAGATACATGCTACTGAATATGTGGTTGCTGTGATGGCAGAAAGTATGGTTGAGACTGTATACAGAGTTCTTGAGCTAGAAGTTCTGTGAAAAGCAGCCAGTTAACATGTAAAACTGCTAATGGACACCATTCTCATAAATGTAGTACATTATCTGTCACCATAAATGTCACAGTAAAAGTCAATCTATTTGACCTTTATTTTCTTCTGTTTCCTATTGCCACCCTAATGCTTGGTTAAGTATTAGTTTTTATAGGCTCTTTTGATGAAAACCTTTTCCTGCCAAACTGTTGCACTAATCTAGCATGTTGTTTCACACAATGTTCTCCCTTTGTCTCTAGTTCTTGTTTTAGTCTTAAAGGGTTTTTTTCAGCATTACTGACACAGGCAAATCTATACTGATGTTGAACAGGCGAAGTGGGAGGAGTCTATCACACGGTAATGTCACTAGTGGATTCTGTGATGTCCCTGATGGACAGCTGGAACTGTAGGAAGAAGGAGGACTGCTGTCCACACTGTAGCTGCCTTGTCTGCAGAAATCCCCGATTCTTGTAAATTCACAGTTGATCTGTGGTGTAAAGTTTCTCTCTTAAGAATATTGTAAACAGATCAATACTACTTTCTTAAAAGTTTTTCTGCTGTTTCTTGTTATTTCTGAAGCAGACCCTGAGGAGAAATAGCATGGTATGGTCTACCAGTTCTTAAAGTCATAAAGCATTTAGCCATGTGTTAAAAGGGGCGTGGCACGGGGCTCAGCTCATTAATTTTGAAGATCAATTTCCATGAAGTTGAAAGATAAAATAACAAAATCAGTATTATTTTGAATAGTGCTAGCCCCTTCCTACCCTCTTTATAATTGTATAATCTGAGTTTTTGCCAGACAGTAAAATTATGGTCTCCATTTTCCATTTCCATAATAGCATCTGTTAATAGATAAATTATAAAACTGGTAGCAATTTAACCAAATAGTCAAAAGGATCCCTGACTACACTGATATGGAACTGGGGTCTGAAGCATAAAAATCAGCTTTATGTAAAATAAAACCAAAATAACCTGGAAGCAGGGTTATCCTGGGGCCTCTTTTGTCTCCATACTTATACAGTATATGCTTTTAAAATTTCAGTCTGACAAAAATTAACAAAATACACCAGTACAAGTATCTCAATTTGTAGCTAGGGCAGCCAACAATCTGAAAGTTCTACATTGTGTATCAGTCTGAGATACAGGATGTGGTACATAATACAATTCTTAAAAGGTCTTTAAGCTTCTTTATTGCTAGATTTAATATTTAGAAATAAACATTAGTATTTCTGTTTTTGTTTAGTACAGGGCTCCTTTGCCATTCTTATCATTGAGCTGGTTCTGCCTACAATTCACAGCATCCTTTCATGGCGGTGGCTTTCTGTGGTGCAGCTTGCATCTTTGTGAGCTCTGACTATCCACTGTGTTCTATTGTTTTGAGTTTTGCTTTCACATTTTGTTCTGTGCCTGTCTTCTCCATAAGTTTTGCATTGTTTGTTGAAAGTACTAAAGATTGGCTAATACTGATCATGTTTTATTTACTTCTTCACAGATTCAGCTACTAGTGACTCGACAAAATCTAAGGTAAATTGTTGTATGCAGTTTGCAAGTATTTTAGGGGGAATTGCTTTTTGAGTAATCACTGTGATTAATATTCAAGTGCATCTTTATCCATACCTGATGAACCAAAGCAACAAAGTCTAATAGATGGAAAAATTAGTTCTTCAAGTAAGTTAGAATACTAGATTATGAATTGGACTGTGGAGTTTCTGATAGAATAGTTATTAAATGCAAACAACCAAGCTTCTTCCCCTTTGTTCTTTTTTTTTTTTTTTTTTTGCAGAACCAGGGATTGAACGCAAGCCCTTGTGCTTGCCAAGCACACATTTATTCTACTGAGCCATCTCCCTGCCCCTCTTTGTTTTTGAAATTTTGCTAACATGAAAAAATTTTTTTCTAACATGTATATGAAAATAGAGAAAATGGTCTAATCAGTCTCCATGAACTTATTACTCATCTTCAACAATTTTTAGCCAATCCTGCTTCTTCACATTCTTTCCCTTTTCCTCCTTCTGGAACTATTTTCAAGCAAGTCCAAAACATGTCATTTTATGTGCAGATATTTTAGTATAATAGATTTATACATTGTTGTAGATTATGTGCGTGTGTGTGTGTGTGTGTGTGTAGTGCATATATATATTCTTGCTTTCTTTTCAGCAAAATTACTAGTTCTGTTTTTGTATTTTAATGTAATTTGTATTTGATTGACAGCAACACCCAAGCACAGTTTTTTAGATTATTATATTTTACAATTAAATGTGAATTTTATATGCCACATTTAAATATCGTATCACTTAGAATTGTCTCCAAATTTTTATTGTGAAAAGTGTTAAGGCTACAGTAAAGCTGTTAGAATAACAGCACCCAAACCCTAAATCCTCCATTGACAAATTCTGATATATTTAAATACAGTAAGTCCAACTTATGAATGAGAATGAGTTCTGCTCTGGAAGACTTGTTTATAGTCAGATTCATTCATAAGCTGACACAGTGAGTCATATTCAGTACACCTGTGAATGTTTATGACTCGTTTGTAAGTCAGGGACTTCGTGTAATACATATATTTTTTTTCCTCATTTGAGTTAGTTGTACACATAACTATACCCCTAAATGTTGTAACGTGCATCTCCTGAGAGCAAAGCCATTTCCCTCCAGCTTTTCCCTGGCCCATTCTGGCCCACCTGTGTCAGAATGTTGTTTAGTCTGGAATCTGTGTTCCCTGTGCAGGAAATGAAGGGTGCCAGAGCTTACAGAAGCAGGAAAGTCTGTAGTTTTAGAGAAATTAATAAGGATCAGGAAAAGTAGATGCCACTACACACAAATTATCACCTGGAAAGAACAGATGCAAATGTCTTGGCAAAGAAGTAGGCAGAGAGTGTAAATGAAAATATATTTTTGGCATAAGTTTTAAAGGGTATAAGAAAACAAATGACACTTTTTCTGTGCTTCTAGAGCTTTAGTAGATTTAATTCTTTAAGAAACATATTTAGGGGGAAAATAGAAAGTCCACTCAGTGTGTTCTGCTCAGTCTTATTTCTCTTGTTGTCATCCTCTAGGGTTCTTGGGGATCTGGGAAGGATCAGTATAGCAGGGAACTGCTTGTATCCTCCATCTTTGCAGCTGCTAGTCGCAAGAGGAAAAAGCCAAAAGAAAAAGCACAACCCAGCAGCTCAGAAGATGAATTGGACAGTGTATTTTTTAAGAAGGAAAATGTGGAACAGTGTCATGGTGATACTAAAGAAGAGTCCAAAAAAGAAAGTGAGACATCGGGCAGAAAACAGAGGATCCTCGTTGCCAAAGAAAATAGTGCTAAGAAAGATACCAGCACATCAAGAGAAGAGAAGACACTGCTGCGAAAGGAGAGCACACCCTCTGAGGAGTTGTCACCCCCTCACAGCTCAAAGCTGAACCGGTCACCCACCCTGAGCTGTCGCTTTACCATTCTGAAAGAGAGTCCCAGATCCCTTCTGCCAGCAAAGTCCTCCCACCTGGAGGAGACTGGCTCTGACTCCGGCACTTTGCTCAGCACATCTTCCCAGGCTTCTCTGGCAAGGTTTTCCACTAAGAAATCAACTAGTCCAGAAATTAAACATAGTGAGTTTTTGGTGAATGTGGGCACCATCACCTCTGACTATTCTACAACTTCATCTGCTACATTCATGACGAGCCTGGACTCCAGCCGCATCAGCCCTGAGGTGCAGTCGGTGGCAGAAAGCAAGGGAGATGAGGCTGATGATGAGCGCAGTGAGCTGATCAGCGAGGGGCGCCCCGTGGAGACGGACAGCGAGAATGACTTTCCCGTTTTCCCCGTGGCTTTGACGTCAGAAAGGCTTTTCCGAGGAAAGCTCCCAGAGGTTACCAAGATGAGCCGGAGAAACTCAGAAGGAAGTGAAGCAAGCTGTACCGAGGGGAGTTTGACTCCCAGTTTAGAAAGCCGGAGGCAGCTCTTTAGTTCACACAAACTTATTGAATGTGATACACTGTCCAGAAAAAAGTCTGCTAGATTCAAGTCAGACAGTGGAAGTCTAGGAGATGCCAAGAATGAAAAAGAAACACCTTCGATAACTAAAGTGTTTGATGTCATGAAGAAAGGAAAATCAACTGGGAGTCTGCTGCCGCCAACCAGAAATGAATCAGAAAAACAGGAACCCACTTGGAAAACAAAAATAGCAGATCGGTTAAAACTGAGACCCAGAGCACCTGCTGATGATATGTTTGGAGTAGGAAGTCAAAAAACAAACCCTGAGACTGCTAAAAGAAAAAACATCAAACGTAGACACACGCTAGGAGGGCATAGAGATGCTATTGAAATCAGCATTCTGAATTTCTGGAGAGCACATGAGCAGAGTGGGGAGAGAGAATCTGAACTTTCAGCTGTGAATCGGTTAAAACCAAAATGCTCAGCCCAGGACCTCTCAATCTCAGACTGGCTGGCCCGGGAACGCTTGCGCACCAGTGCATCTGACCTAAGCCGAGGAGAAACCGGAGAGCCCTTGCCAGAGAACCCTAACACTGCAGAAACCCCTGCAACTGACACACCTCTTTCTCTGCAGTGTGACACTGGCAGTTCTGATACCTTGGCTGCAGCCAGGCGGCCCCTTCTTTCCACACCACCGCAGTCCCCTGGCCAAGTCAATGGAGAAAGCTTCCAGAACAGGAACCAGGATGTCTGTTCTGCAGCAGATGCCCATCCTCATAAACTCTCTGAAGCCCCTGGCAATAAGGCACAGTTCCACCCCTATCTTTAACCTGGGGCATGTCCACTCTATCAAATATGAAACTGCTGTTACGCGTTCCAGTAACTCTGTAAATATTTTCTTGTACCAGAATTGTTATGCAGCCTTCATTTGGGCTCGTTTCATCATTTTGCACTGTGAAATAGCTTTACAGTGCATTACTACAGCCAGAAGAACACATGTATGTATTTCAAAGTATATTGGATAGTTGTACACAAATGAGCAAGGTCTTTGCTGCAACTTACTGCATAGTATATCCCCCAACTTACTGAAGAGAAGCGCTGGCATTAGTGTGCAGCAAATCTGTTCTTTTGGTTTCATCACTAACAAAAGTGCCTCATCATGAAAGTACATTTGATTTTTAGGGTGCCATATTGTTAAAATTAGATAAACTTACATCAAATAAACAAATGCATTTTATCGGTAACAAATTTCATTACATTTACCAGTTTTAACACAGGTGGATACAGAACTTCCATTCTTTAGTCATTCCAGGTGGATTGAGTTTTATATCCAAACTTTTAATACAGTTTTTGAGTTTTGTGTGACTTGAATTTTTAATCTCTCTGTAAAATACATAACTTAAATGAACATATTATATGTGTATCTTTTCTTCAGATACCAGATTTGATATAAATGTTGTAACATAGGTGTGTAGATAGTAGGCCTGGATGGAACTGGCTTCTTTATAAGAATATAATTCTGCATGAGAACTTACTGAATCCAAACCTGTGTCATGCCTGTGTGCATACCCAATTAAACACTGGAAATAAAAGTTGTTTTGGTGAACTTTGTATGGGTTGAAACTTCTGTTTTTAAATGTTGCCCAATTCTATGACTAATTGGTTCTAACTTCCATATTTCTAACTGTGACTGACAGGAATCTCTTGTAAATGCCTACATTAGCCTCATCTCCACCCTGTACACAGATATTTAACTTTTTTAGTTAAAGTATACTCTTTACTTTTTCATAAGATCATGTTTATTGTTCAAGCCTGGCCTTAAGTCTCCCTGGAGTGACACTTCCCATCTTAACCAGACTATCGCTCCCACATATAAAGTAAGTTCCAGTATACCATTGTATTGTTCTTCTATAGACTGCAGTTTAAAACCCTCTCTATTGGGGGGGAAATGTGAGGAAGAAATATTGAAAACTAGAAAAGAATCACAACCCCAACCCATGGCTCAGTTAAAAATTTGTGCTTTGCCATCCATTGTCACTGTTGTGGAAGCTACTCATCTCTTCGCATCCTTTCAAGTACCAGGCATTCTCGGAGCTTTACATTTTTATTTTGATTTTAAGAAAAAATGAATGGATGTGATATATCACACTATTTTGGAATAAGGTTTTTTTTTTTTTTTTTGGTTCCTCGAATGCCTTCAGGGCACTTTTGGCCAGCGGGAGAGTTGTGAGGTTCGAACTCCAGCAACCTGAGGCTGACAGCTTTGGGGAAGCAGCCACTTAAAGGACTGAGCTAGGGCCAGGCCCCCCATCACACTATTTTGTATTCCCTACATTACCAAGCAAAGGAGCGCCTCTCAGATATCTATTGGCCATTCCAATTTTCTTTCTTTCTTTTTTTTTTTTTTTCCAATTTTCTTAAGTACATTCTGTTAACTTGTGACTATTGCTTTTTATTTGTCTTTTTCCTCATAGATTTTTATGTAACCTGTCTACTAGTCCTGATTAGAAATATTGCTGTTTTCTCCATTTGTAATTTTTTTGCATTGTTTTAATTTTTTTTTAACTTAGCCAGATTTATCAGCTTTTATGCGTACCTTTAGACCTTCTTAGAAATACTTTAAAAAACAAAACAAACCTATTAGTGTCCAGCAGAAGTTGGGTTTTTGTTGTTGTTTTTTGTAGGCTTTACACTTTTTATGTGTGGAATTTATTTTATGAATTATGTGAGGTAGGATGGCAGCAATGCTTGTGTTATCATAATTCCTCATAATCTTACAAAAATTTCAGATCTATGACCCATGAATTCTTATGCAAAAAAATAAGTTGTCCCTCACTTGACACTGCACTGCTAAAGTTGTGTAACAGCATGGCAGCTCTAGCAGACTGCTACGTATAACAGAACTGGACCTTGTCGTAATATAGACATTTCAGCTGGTTGTACTGGAAGGAAGAGGAGAGCTGTACCAGGGCAGAATACCTATTCTATGGTCCTTCCATGTCCCTGCAGTGAAAACTACAGTGACAGCTACAATAACATCTTGGGAGAGAGTACAAAGAAATACAAAGCAGGGGAAAGCTTAGTATTTTCCAGCCAAGAAGCAGATAGAGTGGGCTTAGGCCTCTAAACCATCTGGCTGCCTTGCTGGCCAGATAGCAGACTAAAGCGCCTGCTTAGGGAGGCACAGCTAACTGTTGGATCCCTGACTCAGCCCATGGGGCACACTGAGACATGCTAAGACTGGGCTTGGTGGTGTGCTCCTGTAATCCCAGCGCTTGGGATACTAAAAACAGGACAGTCACTAGGAGTCCAGTCTGTTTAGTGAGACCCTATAGACTCTGTACTAAGTATATAAAAAATAATAATAAACCATCTAGCTGTAGAGCAGTTACAAAAGGGAAATATTGGGAACTGAGGATGGAGACTTGTCAGTTTTCAAGTTCATTGGCTGTGGGGTTCTGAAGGTGATTTGTAGTAACACAGGGATGGGATGATTTGAACCTTTACTTCCTGAGAATGAAAATGGTGGTTTTGAAAATCTACTGACATAATAAAGCAAAAAACTTAAAATGTGTGCCACATTGTCTGAATTTCATGTAGGCTTAATTAGCATTAGATTTTTTTAAGGTATAGATTAACCTTTCAGATAATATTCCTATGCCTCAGTTCTTGACACAATTATGTATATGTAGATACTTCTTTGTAGTAACAGTTACAGTTTCATAGATTCTTAAATTAAATCAAAGTTAATAGTCATTGAAGTTCTGCAGGATAACCCAAAAATACTTGAATATCTTTATCATGTGTACCAAGTTTTGTCCTTTCGATTTAAAACATTCTAACTGCTTTGCCTCCCGGTAGCCTCCTTGCAATGCCAACTCAGACTGTTCATCTCTAAAACAATCATGATTCAAGGGTGTTTGCTGTGCGAAGTTGCCCTTGGTTATGGTTCCAGTTTTAGATTCTCAAAAATAAAAGAAAATACGAAGTTGACTTGGAAATAAACCTGACTGGGCTCTCACAAAGACTTTTGCTTTTAGTACTAGTTATTTACAGAAGGCCTGAGACTTCAGGACCTTTAACTTTCAATCTTCTGTGTAAATATTACTGAAGCATGTTAGGAAGCTTAAATTACTGAACAAAACCCAAGAAAGGTGGCTCATTTGAAGAAACAGGCAAATCCAAGTGCCCTACAACCAACCTAGTGCCACCTTTAGTTTATTAGGGTTTTCAATCTGTTTGAAATTATTTTCTCCACCATGCTTAAATGTTTCTGACAGCCACTGCTACAACAATAAGTATTATCATTTAGGAAAGAATGTTGTGGGGGGATTAAAATAGGGTTCTGACTGAAGGGCACTTTTCTTCAGCACTACTGTGGCAATTGCTAGAATGTCTGTGGCTTTTTCTTTCTTTTTTTTTTTTTTTTCTTTGTGGAAATGGGGATTGAATTCAGGCTCTTGTGCTTGCCCACAAGTGCTTATTCTACTGAGATATCTCCCCAGGCCCCCATGTCTGTGGCCTTTATCAGCCTTTCTCTTCTGAACCACTCATTATGCAGTGTTTTGAGAAGGTGTTCTCTAAAGTATCCCAAAGACAGATGATACGTATCCATTTCAGATCAGGTAAGAGAAGTCACGGCGTAGTTAGCTGCAGTGAGTGTCTTCTGGTCATCGTATGTGAAAACACTGCATAGCCCTTCACCAAGGCTGTGCTGAAGAGGTGATATAGGACTGTGGATTCTGAGGGCTGACAAACTCCAAATGCTGGCTCTGCCTCAAGCAGCAGCACTTGGTGAGGGGTTCCCTAATTTATGTTCAGGATTCGGACCTGCCCGTACAATGGAAGTGCTGGTGTCATCCACAAGGAATGTGAACCACACAAGAGTGGAGGCCTTTGTCTGGGTTAGTGCTCTGCCTGTAATGGGGATGTACTCTGCACATACAAGCTGCCCCATCCTGGGTACCATATTTTGAATCTATACCCTTTGAGTCTTGGAGTTCCAGCAATTGCTGAGAAAAGCTATGCTCTGAGAGGTTGAATTTTCACTATCTGTTCTGTTCGTGTTTTGTTTGCTTGCTTTTACAAACTTAAGATTGCTATATTTTCCTGTCTCATAAGACCACCTGTGATTATATAGGATGTAAAGTTATTATTTTCTAGTCTTTGATCTCTATTATTTAAAGTCTATTTTGCCTAATACTAATTTAGCAACATTAGCCTTATTTTGGTTTGTATTTTTTCTAGCTTTGGTACTTTTTTTCTAGCCTTTAAACTTTCCTTTGCCTCTGCTTAAGTTTTTTATAATTTTTATTTTCCATCCTTTTTTTTTTTTAATTAACCTGATACTATATCATTTAACTCCCATAATTAGCTTTTCCACTAAAAGTAATTTGTTTTCATCTGTTGTACTGCATTTTAAAAAAGTTTTTCCTTTGGGCCAGAAAGATAGCTCAGCGTACTAAATGTCTGCTTAGGCAAGCACAGGGACCAGACTTCAGTCCTGGGCACCACGTGCCACGCTGGCCCTAACCGAGGCATACTGAGCCAGCCACCAAGACCAGGCATGGTTGTGCCCCCCTGTAATCCCAGTACTAGGGAAGCTGAAAACAGGATCACTACGAGTCTGAGCTGCATAGTGAAACCCTGTACCAAATATATATATTTTTTCCTTCATTGTTAATTTGAATTAATTTTTTTCTACTTTTTTGCTCTTTTTTTCTTTTTTGAACATTGACTTTTACTTTTTACAGTGCATGTTTGCAGTATATAATGACTACCTTCATCATGGGGAGTTGTTGCTTGCACATAACATCCTAGGTCCTGTTGTCTTCCTTCCCCTTCACTCCGTCTTTTGGTTCCCTTTTCATTTGCCAGAGATGTAGCTCCCCATTGCCTATTCTCTTATTTTGCTCTTCATACTTTGGGTTTCTCATTTAAGAGAAACTATATAATGTTTAAGCTTATGTGTGTATTTCACTTAACGTATCTTTCCTGGGGGGGTGTCCTAGAAACTTTAATATGCATGTTAAACAAATTTAATTAATAGTTGTCCCTTCCTTTCAAGCAATACAAAGATCTAAGCATACTCTAATTCCATTTGATCTGCCCCAACTTACCTACAGTTTCATGTATTTTTGTGCCACACGTTGGACAGTATCGTTGTACACAGTATCAGTGCTTAGGTTTATCCTCACCTTTGCCATTCTCGCTCATCATGATCCTTGCAGAAGGCCTCCCTTCCAGAATTATCTTCAGAAATTCCTTTAGTGAGAGTTGGTGGTGGTAAATATTCTTAGGTTTCATCTTTGGAATTATTTTGCTTTCACTCTTGAAAGAATGTATTGCTGGACACACCACTATAAGTTGATGGCAGTATTTTCCCTCAACATTGTAAGATGCTAATTTACTCTTGTCTGGTATTGCTGTTTTGACCCAGAAATCTGTAATCTACTTTTAAAATTCTGAGATACTTTTAAGATCCTTTGTGTTTTGTCTAATGAGGATGTGTGAGTGTGTCCACGCATGGTTTGCATGTGCTTGGGATTTCAGTGCTTTGAAACAGAATTGCCATTGCTTGAGTTCTGTAAAATTTGCCAGTCACT